CTCATTTCTAACATTTCGGCTGGGTTTCCTTCCTCCCCCAAAGGGCGGTTTCTTCCCTGAGTTTCTCTCTTGCTTTATCTCCCACATCCCGAACTGAGTTCCCGTCTGTGCTATTCTGCTTGCTTCTGTGTTCTTTAAAGTCGCTGCGTGTTTTCTCGTGTTAGCAAGTAGGCTTTGACTCCTCCACTCCGCACCTCGTTTATTTAGACTTGTTAATTGAGGGGGTCTGATCTTTGGGGGTGTTGGACTCTCCTTTTCGTGCTTCTTGTGGTTTACATATCTGTTGGTATGACATTCTTCTGGTTTTATTTAGGGGTCTTCATGAGCAGCCTTCTCTTTCTGATATAACTCACTGTCACTCTAAGAGAGGAGAAATCAACAACACCAGACCAAACCAGAAAAAAAAAAACCCACCTCGGATTGATTAAAGCTGTCTCCTGTGGCGCTAACGACACAGGATAGAAAATGATGCAGAGTAGGCTATGAAGTTAACGTCTGTTTAGTTAAAATGAGAAATAGACGAGTAGGGGAGCATGCAGAGCCCTGAATCTTTGGGGTGTCCAGGCTCCATGCTTTCTGACGCCACAGTTTGTGCTCCACATAAACTGCCCTCCGGGAGACACGCAGCTCTGCCGTGTACTCTGCTGGTCCTGAGCTACAAGGCACTTAGGTGGCTCCCGGGGTCTGGGACCCGCTGACCTCAGGCTCAGGGCTGCCCGCTGTCCACAGTTATCTTCAGGTAATGGAGTCTAAGCTCCCATCCTCGGGAGCAGGTGGCGCTCTGTCCACCACCCCTTCCCTGTCAGAACCTAGCTTTCTAGAGCCTGAACCTCTTAACATCTGGTGTGACCCCGTCTCCCACCACTGCTGCCTCCCCCCAGGGGCTGCAGCATGTGGTCCCCGGCCACTCCCTGCCTTGTGGTCATTGCTTGTTTTCCAGGTCCCCGGAATAGCTCAGTCTTAAAACATTAGGCCGGCTCCCTTGCACACAGCCCTCTGGAATGGGGAATGACAGACAGGGCTTCCTTGAACGCTGGTCTGTCACACGAGAGGAGTCACCATCTGATAGATTTCCCAGATGGATTGGTAGCTGTCCAGAGCTGCTTCACTATGCAGCCTGCCTGCCCTGCCTGTGGAGAGGCATCAGTCTCCTCCCCTGCTTGGGAGCCGCACTAAAGCCGAGTGCTGCCCATCCCTGTTGGCTCCCTTGTCCTTCCTCCCCTGTCCTGTCACCTCCTCTGAGACTTGTGGTGGGCTCCGCATCTCTCTGTCTCTCTGGAATAGTCTGTTCTCTGTGGTCTGGCTCTTCCTGGAGTCACTCAGAGGCCAATCTACCTCACCCTGAGGAGTCCCTTAATTCTCTTAATTATTATATTTCTGTAGTTACAGTTTTCAAGTCCCTACCACACATTTTTTGCCTTCATCCAACAGAGTTTGGGAATTTTTATTTTCATTTCATTCCTTTAAAAATATTCTCAAATCTTACTAGTGATTTCTTGGTGTGCACACCTGCTTGTGTGTGTGTGTGGTGCAAGGAATTGAACCGTGGACACTGTACCTCCCAGGCAAGTGCTCCGCTGTTGAGTCACTTCTTCAACCCATTCCTCCTTTGTTTTACTTGTTTATCTATCTGTGTGGAGGCGAGGTCTCAGACTGGTGTCGGGGTCAGTTTGAACTCACAGTCGTCCGCCTTAGCCCCCCAAGGGACTGGTGTTTCTGGCATGAACCAGCACCCCCAGCTCTGATGATTCCTTCTTCAACATCTCTATCTCCTCTCCCTCCAGACAGCTGTGTTCTGACCGCCACAGTCTGCCATGACTTAGTAATCGACACGTCACATGAAAGAGCCTTCTTCCCACGGTGTGCCTCCAGTTGCCGCATTTGTGCCGCAGCTTCCATTTACTTTACATGTTACAAACCAGCCTGTGGCTCGTTATTAATGCTCTTACATTTCTCACTATCATTTCAAGAAAATTGCAAAGAAAATCTGTATTTATTAATTTACATCTTAATCAATTCCAGTGCTTTCATTTTTCTGCATAGATTGAGTTTCCTTCAGTCTGAAGATAAAAATGAATGCCGAAAATTCTCCTAGCATTTCTATACCTGGAGAAGCCTTTATTTCAGACATATTTGTGCAAGGTGTTTTTGCTAGATACAGAATTCTAGTTTGTGGCTTTTATATTTTGTCTGTTGTGTGTGTGTTTGTTTAGGTGTGTGAGTGTGTGGTGTTGGAGCACACATGTGACGCACACTTTTCAGATGTCCATTTTCTCCTCCTTTTGTTTTGAGGCAGGGTCGCCTCACTGTCTCTGCGGCTGACCTGCATGTCCCGTGCTAACTGGCCTGTGAGCTCGCACACAGTTGGGCTTGTGCTGACACATGCACACCACCCTCCAGGGCCTCGATTGTGGGCTCCAGGGGTTGAATTCAGGGCATCGGGCTTGAACAGCAGGTGCCTTTACCCTCTGAGCCGTCTGTCTTGCCCTGTGTGTTTGTTTATTGTTATTTTATTGTTTGAGGGAGCTATTATTTTTGTTTGCTGGCTTGTTTTGAGATAGTCTCTAAAGTGCAGACTGGCCCTCGACCTTGCTCTATTGCCTAGGTTGGTTTCTGGTTCACGATGATCCTCCTGCCTCAGTAGCTTGAGTACTATGATTACAGATGTGTACAACAATGCCCAGCTTTACATTTTCAGCACAAAAAGATTTTGTCTCAGTTGTCTTCAGCTTTCATGGTATCTAATGGCCATTCTTATCTTCTCCCCTCTGTGTGTGTGATGTTTCTGCTTCTCAGGATGCTGGTAAGACTTTCTCTTTATTTTTAATCTTCAGCAGTTTGATAATTGATGCATTGTTTACCGCTCTAGAGGCGGTGGGACCTGGGGGATGGAGACATAAAGGAAGCCAGCTAAAGTCTCATACAATAGCCAACTCTATTCAGAGCCTCAGACAGTTTATACTCTGGGGGTTAAGAAAGGTCACCTGAGTAGCGTTCTCATGAGTTCAGGCTGTATACAATCACAGTGACAAGCCATATGTGGCAAAACCATGTTTTTCCATAGAGACCTACCAAGGATAGTGTAGACACTTACGTGAATACCAACAGCAAGCACTAATGAGTGGTCTGCGTAGACGCACTCCTGTCTGCTACACCTGGGAGGAACACGAAAGTGCATTCCAAGAGCAACTGAGCCCCCAAGACTGTTGCCTTGTTCTCTTGAGGTGTTCTCACAAGCACTGGGAAATCTCCTCAGACGATTTCATCTCTGGACCGTGTTCTGACAATGTCCCTCTGTCCAATTTCCTATGTGCTGATTCTACTTTTTTATTTCTGGTGTTTGGGGGTGTGCTTTTAATGTGTCAATATTTTAAATTACATTTGGAATATTTTAGGCTTTATTTCTCCAGCAGGCATTCTGTCTACCTCCTCTTTCTCTCTAAGACTGCACTGTTGGGCCATAGGTCACCAAGACGGCTGCTTTTAGTGGTCGCTCTTCATTTTGTTCTCATTAGTAGGCTTTCCCTTTTAGAGCCATTTTTATGTCGTCTTTGCCCTTCAACAGTTGACCCTTATTACTAATGTGGTAATAAACAGTCCCGTAAAACAGCCCTTGCATGTGTGTGGGAAGTCCCTGTGCATGTGTGTGGGTTACTTCCTGTGCATGTGTGTGGGAAGTCCCTGTGCATGTGTGTGGGAAGTCCCTGTGCATGTGTGTGGGAACTCGCTGTGCATGTGTGTGGGAAGTCCCTGTGCATGTGTGTGGGAAGTCCCTGTGCATGTGTGTGGAAAGTCCCTGTGCATGTGGGTGGGAGGTCCCTGTGCATGTGTGTGGGAGGTCCCTGTGCATGTGTGTGGGAAGTCCCTGTGCATGTGTGTGGGTAACTCCCTGTGCATGTGTGTGGGAAGTCCCTGTGCATGTGTGTGGGAGGTCCCTGCTGTGCATGTGTGTGGGAAGTCCCTGTGCATGTGTGTGGGAAGTCCCTGTGCATGTGTGTGGGAGGTCCCTGTACATGTGTGTGGGAGGTCCCTGTACATGTGTGTGGGTAACTCCCTGTGCATGTGTGCGGGAAGTCCCTGTGCATGTGTGTGGGAAGTCCCTGTGCATGTGTGTGGAAAGTCCCTGTGCATGTGTGTGGGAAGTCCCTGTGCATGTGTGTGGGAAGTCCCTGTGCATGTGTGTGTGGGAAGTCCCTGTGCATGTGTGTGGGAGGTCCCTGTGCATGTGTGTGGGAGGTCCCTGTGCATGTGGGCGGGAGGTCCCTGTGCATGTGGGCGGGAGGTCCCTGTGCATGTGTGTGGGAAGTCCCTGTGCATGTGTGTGGGAAGTCCCTGTGCATGTGTGTGGGAAGTCCCTGTGCATGTGGGTGGGAGGTCCCTGTGCATGTGTGTGGGAGGTCCCTGTGCATGTGTGTGGGAAGTCCCTGTGCATGTGTGTGGGAAGTCCCTGTGCATGTGTGTGGGGGAAGTCCCTGTACATGTGTGTGGGAAGTCCCTGTGCATGTGTGTGGGAAGTCCCTGCTGTGCATGTGTGTGGAAGTCCCTGTGCATGTGTGTGGGAAGTCCCTGTGCATGTGTGTGGGAAGTCCCTGTGCATGTGGGTGGGAAGTCCCTGTGCATGTGGGTGGGTTTCTCCCTGCGTGCTTTATCCCAGCTGCTCCTGTGTTCGAGGCTGGAGCTGGGAGTGGGCTTGTCACCGGAGTCACACCTCGGCTCTTTGGTGTAGGTGTTGTGTGACGCTCTCCCTAGTACCACTGTTGCATAAGGACGCAAAGAGGTTTATTCTCTCAGTGCTCATTCAGTGACATTTCGTCACATATCACACTTGCTCCTTAGAAGGGTTTGATTTTCTTGTTTTCTGCTTTAAGCACCTAACGTGTACACCTGTCTATACATGTTGCTAGCAGCTGATATGTTAGACTTTGATTTCTCAGAAACCACGTTACTCTTGATCTGTTGGTATCACTTGCCAAACGTCGATTGTTTCTCATCTTTTCCAGGCCCAGCTTCAGAGGGAAAAAGAAGAAGACCAGCTGAAGCTGCACGCTAAGCTTGCCAAGCTGGATGTCCTGGAGCAGGAGTGCTTCAGACTGACAGCCACTCAGCAGACTGCTGAGGTGAGCTCTGCTCCTCTGCGGTGATGGCGCCAGCGGGAAACAGAGCTGCCATTGAATGGGAATGAGCAGTCGGGATTTAGAGCACTTCATGTACAGTTCTCAGAAGTCCGGGTGCCTCCTGCCCCTGGAGAAAGTGTGTTCTGTCATGGCCTGAGTGAGCTGGTCTGCTAACAGCAAAGTCCGACTCTAAGATGGCAGAGCATCTCCATCCGTCAGGTGTCTGACCTAAAGTGTTAGCTAGGTAGTCTCTATGGCCTGTCCTACACCCCTCCCACGACCCCTGACCCAGTCCTTCTCATTTCTCAGAACTGCTCTGGAACCTCTTGTCCTCTTTGTAGCCCCTGTTCAGGGCTCCAGGACTCAGAAGCTCTCCTTTGGCACTCTGTCATGGTTCCTGTTCCGAACCACACAACGTCAAATGTAATATGTGTGTGAGGGATGCAGTGCATGATGGTCCTTTTCAAGCTGTTCTCACTGCCTTGCCACTTTGTTTGTGTATCACTCTTTTAGCATCTTTTAAGTTTATTATTGTGTATGTGAATGATGGGGTGGGAGTGCATGGAGGCCAGAGGACAGCTTTGTGGAATTGGTTCTCTCCTTCTGCTTCTACATGGTTCCAGGGATCAAACTCAAGTGACCAGACTTGTGTGACAGGTACTTTACCTGCTGGGCTGTCTTGCTAGCTCTTGTGCTTATCACAATCCTTGTTTGGCAGAGCATAGCACTCAGCTCTTCAGGAACCAGGGCCAAGCCTTCCATTTCTCAGGTGTCTTCCTGCCCTGCTCCCATCACATGCATGTGACCGCATTGTCCCCCATTGCATGCACATGGCCGACATTGCTATTGTTTGTGTTTGAGTGAACGTTGAGACCCACAGCCATAATAGCTTTAAAAGCTGTAATATTCTCGGGAGCTTCACCGTGGATCTGGTGGTAGCTGTAGTAAAGCATGTGGTTTGTTCTCCATGGATCTGGTGGTGGCCGCGAATGAAGCTGTGGTTTGTTCTCCGTGGATCTGGTGGTGGCCGCGAATGAAGCTGTG